CTACGGAGGGAAACACGGACAAATAAGTGGAAGGGTTCTTAAGAAAGTATAGCGTTAAAGGCAGGACCCGACCCCCCTTAAAGAGGCGTCGGGCTCCATGAAAGAGTGTTTAGCATGTCTTAAACCTTTTTTGTCCCAATTGATGATGTTGGTGGCTTGTGGGGGGTAGGGGGGAGAGGGGTGGTGGGGGAGAAGGGGTGTTGGGGTGGGGGGAGGTGGGGGGGGGGAGGTGTAAAAGTGTGAAGGTATTGGCCACAAGTGCCACTTCCAGCCACCTTCCTCAATGAGAACCTTTCCCTTCCTCCTTCTTCCCCTCCCTCCCACTCTCCCTCCCTCTCTCTCCCTCTTCCTCCAGCTCTCCGCTCACCTCGCAGTATTACTATGTCATATTGAGACACCACCCTGGGTCCCGGGGTCACACCCTACACCTCTACCCAAAACACCAAGCAACACTGCCAGTACCCGAGACATCTTAACAGTACACATACACCTGAAACACATATGTCTCACCATCGTGAATAGCATCTTAAGAGCCCCGCCCGGCCGCCCCTGCGCCATAATTCATCACTGTAGTCCGGTCGTTAATTGTTCCCATTAACATCTTGGTGTCATAACAATCTCCTTGAATTCCACATGTTCCTTCAACTTGTGGAATTCAAGGTGAAGGAACTTGACTTTTTCCTCAGGACCAACTTCATGGGTCCTGAGCCCTGTACTTCATGGGTCCTGAGCCCTGTACTTCATGGGTCCTGAGCCCTGTATTTCATAGGTCCTGAGCCCTGTACTTCATGGGTCCTGAGCCCTGTAATTCATAGGTCCTGAGCCCTGTACTTCATAGGTCCTGAGCCCTGAACTTCATGGGTCCTGAGCCCTGTACTTCATGGGTCCTGAGCCCTGTACTTCATGGGTCCTGAGCCCTGTACTTCATGGGTCCTGAGCCCTGTACTTCATAGGTCCTGAGCCCTGAACTTCATGGGTCCTGAGCCCTGTACTTCATGGGTCCTGAGCCCTGTACTTCATGGGTCCTGAGCCCTGTACTTCATGGGTCCTGAGCCCTGTACTTCATAGGTCCTGAGCCCTGTACTTCATAGGTCCTGAGCCCTGAACTTCATGGGTCCAGAGCCCTGTACTTCATGGGTCCTGAGCCCTGTACTTCATGGGTTCTGAGCCCTGTACTTCATGGGTTCTGAGCCCTGTACTTCATGGATCTTTGGCCCATCTTACAGTATATTTTAATTAATTTCAGCATATAAAGTCTCAGTATACTTACAGAATGTAATTATTATTACAATTATTATTATTATTAAATTAAAATATATAAAGCAATAAGGACTGTATTCCAGTAGAGGCTGTAATTGGCAGGTGTGGCAAATGACCTTGTTTGACACACACACACACACACACACATACACACACACACACACACACACACACACACACACACACACACACACACACACACACACACACACACACACACACACACACACACACTCACACACACACACACACACACACACACACACACACACACACACACACACACTCACACACACACACACTCACACACACACACACACACACACACACACACACACACACACACACACACACACACACCTCAAGCTAGTGAGAGAGACAAACTCAAACGCTCGCGACACCAGTTTAGTTCCTGTCTCTATATCAAAATAAATGTGGGGGGGGGGGGCAGCAGGCGTTGTTAAGGTGGGGGAGTGGGGGGGTGGTGGGGAATGGGGGGGGCGGTGGGTATTTTTTTGGAGTGGGGGGGGGGGTAGGTAGAGGGACGGTGGTAACATGATGGAGAGGAACTGTTGAGAGAGAGAGAGAGAGAGAGAGAGAGAGAGAGAGAGAGAGAGAGAGAGAGAGAGAGAGAGAGAGAGAGAGAGAGAGAGAGAGAGAGAGAGAGAGAGAGAGAGAGAGAGAGAGAGAGAGAGAGAGAGAGAGAGAGAGAGAGAGAGAGAGAGCCAGAGACATCGTGATACCTAGCAACAGAGAACAGCACTTAGCAACAGAACACCCCCGGGGTGAGACATCACAGTTACCAGATAAAGATTACACAACACACCCCCTAACACACAGAGTGTACCAAGCAGGAATACACCCTCCCCTACACCCCCCTACACCCCCCCAGACCGCCACAGGGAGCAACATGACACCATCACAGTGAAGAACACTGTGTTGCAGTCCTTCAAGAATACTGTGTTGCAGGCCTTCAAGAACCCCTTCAAGAACCTTCAAGAAGCGAAAAAGCAACCTAAATTACTACATAGTTATATAAGAAGGAAAATGTCGGTGAACGACCAAGTGACGAGACTAAGTAAGTAATTATCAACAGAAGGCATCAAACCGGGAAGGTTCTGTAGCACCATCAAATGTGTGGAGTAATCAGAGGGCGCTAAATATCACCAAGGATGCCAGTACGAGAACAGAAACGCATAAGGCGGACGATATCAAAAGTATTCGGTTCACCAAGAACTCTATCGAGGGACAAGCGACCGCTAGAGACGGTCGCAAAGCAAGACACACGCTGTGACGAGACTGAGAAAACAGAAGGGGCATATACAGAAAGCGACAAGGAAATCTGCGAGGTACTGAATGCCAGTTTCCATGGAGTGTTCACAACCGAGCCTGAGCAGCTCCCATTGTTAGAAGAGGAGATGACCCAAGATGAGAGACTAACGGATATCTAACTGGTCGAGGACCGGGCCGCGGGGGCGCTAAGCCCCGAAATCATTGCAAGATAACCTCAAGACATAGAAGTGACAGCAGAGGAGGTAATGAAACAGCTAACAACACTGGATGAAACTAAAGCAGTTGGACCAGACAATGTATCACCGTAGATACTAAAAGAGGCAGCGCAGGCCCTCAGCGTGCCTCTAGCAAGGATCTTTATTGAGTCACTTATGAAGGCAGAGTTGCCCAGTTGCTGGAAGAAGGCAAATGTGGTACCAATTTAAAAAAAGGGAGATATGGAAGAGGCACTTAACTACAGATCAGCATCACTGACAAGCATCCCCTGTAAAGTACTTGGAAAAATAATCAGGTTAAGACTGATTACACACCTAGAGAACATTAGGTATGTAAACAAACACCAACATGGGTCCAGAGAAAGGAAATCATGCCTACCAAACCTTCTAGAATTCTATGATAAAGTCACAAGAATAAGGCAGGACAGAGAAGCATGGGCAGACTGCATATTTATGGACTGCCAAAATGCCTTTGACACAGTACCACACAGGAGACTGCTATACAAACTTGCGAGGCAGGCGGGAGTAAGCGGAAAAGCCTTAGCATGGCCAAAGAATTACTTAACAGGCAGGAGTCAGAGAGTAACGGTCAGGGGCGAGAAGTCAGACTGGTGAACAGTAACGAGTGGAGTACCTTAAAGATCGGTGCTGGGACCAGTTCTATTTCTAATATACGTAAACGACATGTCAACAGGAGTGGAGTCCTACATGTCGATGTTCACGGATGACGCAAAATTAATGAGACGAGTTGTGACAGATGAGGACTGTAGGATCCTCCAAGAGGACTTGAACAAGCTGCATAGACAGTCAGATGGCTACTGGAGTTCAACACGAGCAAGTGTAAAGTTATGGAATTGGGACTAGGTGATAGGCTACCAAAGGGACAGTACACAATGAAGGGGAACTTCCTTCCTGTGACGATTCTAGAAAGGGCCCTGGGAGTGGAGGCAACACCAGATCTAACTACTGTGGCACATATAAATCGGATAACAACAGCAGCGTATTCTACGCTAGCAAAAGTTAGAACGTCATTGACAAACCTAAGTAAGGAGACATTTAAGGCACTTTACACTGTCTACGTGAGACCAGTCTTAGACTATGAAGCGCCAGCATGGAGCCCCACCTTAAGAAACACATTAGGAAACTGGAAAAGGTTCTAAAATTTGCGACGAGGCTCGTCCCAGAGTTGCATGGCATGGGATAGGAAGAGCGACTGAAGGAACTGAACCCGACGACGTTAAAAAAAAAAAAGGAGGGAGCGGTGAGATGTGACAGCAGCATACAAAATACTTAGATGGTATTGACAGAGTGGAAATAGACGAAATGTTCACAGGGAATACCAACAGAACAAGGGGACATGGGTGGAAGCTGGAAACTCAGAGGAGTCACAGAAATGTTAGAAAGTTTTCTTTTAGCGTGAGAGTAATGGAGAAATAAATGAACTAGAGGAACACATTGAGGAAGCAAACACTATTCACAGCTTTAAAACAAGGTAGGATAGAGCAGAAGGGCAGTAGTCATTGCTTTAAACAACCGAAGGCTAGAAAGGCAGGATCCAAGAGCCGACGCTCGATCCTGCAGGCACAAATAGGTGAGTATATGGGGTCATGGAGAAAGATCCTGGTGGTTCATATCACGCCGGTCCAGTCCTGTGAAACCCACATCAAAATGTGTATACGAATAGGTGACTACACACGACCGAGCGCACATCACTCGGAAGTCGTAGTTCTAAGTGGCCCGGGTTCGATTCCCGGCCGAGGCAAACACATTTAGTTATTTGTTTCACCTGATGCACCTGTTCACCTAGCAGTAAACAAGAGCAACAACACCAAACACAAAACCAAACAGGAAAAAATCCTGGGGCCAGATTCACAAAGCAGTTACGCAAGCACTTACGAACCTGTACATCTTTTCTCAATCTTTGGCGGCTTTGTTTACAATTATTAAACAGTTAATGAGCTCCGAAGCACCAGGAGGCTGTTTATAACAACAACAACAGCTGAATGGCAAGTTTTCATGCTTGTAAACTGTTTGATAAATGTAACCAAAGCCGTCAAAGATTGAGGAAAGATGTACACGTTCGTAAGTGCTTGCGTAAGTGCTTTCGTGAATCTGGCCCCAGACCTCACTTCCCCGTAGACACTGCTAGGGAGAAACACATAAGGATGCCGCCGTATCTGCGGTACAAGAGATACCTTCAGTAAACTCATTGACCAAAATAGAAATAAAAAA